CTGTTCATATTCTTGTTTCATCAATTTTTTTGCCAATAATTTGCCTCGTTTTAGAAACTGCATTTGAAGCATTTTCTCGTATATAGAAGCAACTGAGAGAGACATAAAACCCTATGCAAAAGAAAAAAAATTCTTCGCATATTATATGTATATACACTGTTTATAGAATAGTGGGTGAAAATAATGTAAAAAATATCAATGCTTTTCTTTTTATGCTCATGAATTCTTCAAAGCGTTCTTATTAGATTAAAGAAATTTTGTTTTTATATTCCTAGCTATATTGAATTAGCATTTTGAAAATGAGATTTTTTTTAATTCAAGAGAGGAAATTAAACACAAACTATTTTGAGACAGACATATATTATAAAGCCGCTTTATCAGTGATATATTAAATTTTGCTGAAAAAGCTTAACTTGGTACATAATTTTAAAAAATTAGTTAAAATAAAAAAAAAATAAAATATAAATTTGAAAACATTTGATTCATTTACCATATAATAATTGCAATACTCACAACCTTACAAAAAGTTCTGACCTGACATCGTTTCTATATCAAATATTTTAAAAACAATTCCTATGACCATTCAAAATGACCAAAATAAATAAATGAAATAAAAATTGTCAAAGAATTTTTGAAAAAGCCTTGTATACAACTATATTTATCTTATTTTTTGGAATCATATAACTAAGGTTGCTGCTTTGCTAAGTTACAAGTATTTAAAATGAGTATTCTGTTCAACAGTATCATAAAAACAAAACAAAAAATTGTCTTTTTCAAAGATTAATTACATCTATTCAAATGAAATATTCAAAATCAAATGACATTCATGCACAACTCTTTGAGATCTTTTCTACGTCACAATGACAATAACCTCGCATTCTTTTAGTGTATTTTATTTGTTTTTGCTGTCTTTTGAACTGAGGTATCAATTAAAAAAAATCAAATAAATATAAAATAATAAACATAAAATGCTTTTTCGGACATAATGAAAAAGAGTAAAGAAATGTAATGGGAAATGTAAAACGTCTAACTACATACATACCTTTCAAGATTTTTCCAACACAAAGTTAAAGTGAGGGGTTTTGTTGATTTCGGTCAAATATTCTACATTCTGCGCATCAGCTTATTTTTATATAGCTTGCCCTATTCTGGCACCATCAGGATGTTTTTATATTGATTGTAAACACCTCTCTCTACTACGCAGTTTGATAAGTGGGTCAGACTAACTTGCACATTTTTATTCCAGTCCCTTTGTTCATTTTCAGTTATTATAACTGATTTTAATTTATCAAATTATCTTCAGGAATCTAATGGATTCAAGTCAAACTATTTATAGATAAATTTGCATTAGGCCAGTTTTTGTCTTTACTGATTCATTCTTTTTTTTATTTTCTTACTACGTAATTTGACGATCAGAAATTGATGGGAGGAAAAAGTCCACTACCTTATACATGTGCATACTTAAATTTTGTGTAATTATACAAAGAAGCTTCATTGACTTTTCATAAATAATTTGAATATAAAAAACAGGCACTCTGTGACGAAAAAAAATCAATGAGATCTAAATGAGTCTGTTTTCTTTAGTTATTGATCATGATTACCAAGGTTACCAAATAGAATATAGGATGTGTTAATGTATTTCCAGTGAAAACAACGATATCTATTTTCTTGAGTGAAATGGCCATTATTAGGCAAGTCCTTGATGTTAGAGGTAGCAAAAGTTTTTTCCTCTCCATAAAAATTGTTTGTTAACTTTGTAAATATTTGATAGTACAACTGCATTAAGAGAACTTGGTTCAATTTTTACTAGGACACATATAAAGGGAAGTTTTTTGACATCTTCAATGAATTTTTTTTTTAATTTTTATTAAAGAGTTATAAAAATTAGACTAAAAAAAAAATCAGACATTCATTACTTACTACTTTCTTCTTAAAAGAAAAAAATATTGAAGAGTAATTAAGATTCATATTTATGAGTTATTTTTATATTTCATAGAAAAACTTTTTTATGCAAATTTGATCCCAAAAAATGCTTATTTTTTAAATTAAAATTGTGCATGTACAAAAGTCTCATTTATGTCTAAGAAAGAAAATTTGCCTATTAATGAATAAAAAATTCTGCACTTCATCGTTTATTTTTCAAAATTGTTTTACATGTTTAAGGTAGGAGTCTTCACATATTTCTTGTATGCGCTACTTTTGAATATCAAAATGAATGTAATATCGACAATAAATTAACCGTTTGAGTTTTCCTTATTATCGTTCAATAAACGTATCTCTATGTGTATATCTTTAGATATCTAAGAGGTCTAATAATAAAATCTATTAAATTCAATTACCGAAACTACTTTCCCACCTAAGAAATAAGTTCTGGTAATCTCGGTCATATGATCAATAATCTGCGCATCAACTAATTCAGTGAATTAGAGGGACTGTGTACTCGCTCAGATCTTGTAGCCAGGGTATTGACCCTTACAGGAATGTTTTTGTCTATATTGATTTGCCTACTACGCAGTTAAATTTAGTAGGTCAGTTTGGCTTGCAAAATTTTCCTGACCTGTTTCATGTCTTCTAGAACTGTTCAGGTATTGTAATAGAATTAGAAAATTGTGTCTGTTTATTAACTAGAAAGATGTATCATTCCAATTGCAACAACACCATTTTAAAGGACAGAGAAAGCCAAAAGAAATATTTAGCAAGATAACTGAAATTATTTTTTTTTAATTCTGCATTTTTTTAAAATTAAGTCAAGATGAATTTCTATTTCTTTTCACAAATTTATCAGAGATGTTTATGGACAAAACAATATAATATATCAATTCGTGCGTTTATATGACCTTATTTAAAACCCATTGAGGAGTCGTAAATGATTATGATCCTCCGATACATTACTTCACTTGAATGTCTGTTTTATATGTAAAAGAATAAAATTATTAAAGCTGATTGAAAATAAAATCATTCTGGGTATATTTCGTCTTGTTAATGTTGTTCTTTCAAAATAATTAATAACATTTTTAAATACTTCTGAAAAATTGTAACCCACATTTTTGCTTCAAGCACCCTAAGAATACGGAGTTTCTGAATCCGCATTTCTTCAGGAAAGTTCATTAAATGTTTCTCCCAATCGATGGTTTTAAATTTCACCTTTCATTCCTTGAATTAACACTCCTCTGACCCCGTGGTCATGATTAAATCAGATAAGAATCTTCGCTTCTTCGGAAACCTTTCACATAAGTTTCATCTGTCGTGGAGATTTTTTGATGATCAGCCAGCCAGTATTTACTGACTGGTTTGTCTACAGATTTTGTCGGTTGATCGATCATGACAAGGTGCACATGGCAGGTATGACCAGTCGACAGGGGATGCTCGTTCCCTTGAGGCAATTGATCCCAACTGTAATGTTTCTAGGAGGTCCATGTTTGCTCTGTTCACGTTTTATAGTGTTAAGATGGACATTTAAGCTCGATTACTGTTTGGTATCTCCATTTTTATAAGTTTTTAAGTCTTTGGGTTTTAATCAATGATTTTGATACACAATCTCTTCACGGCCTAAGGCTTCAGCTTTAGACTTGTACTCTATATTAAGCTTTTGAGTAGACAAATATTATTTGTATTAGGAGCTACTGCGTTAAGGGAACTCGGTTTCTTCACGTCTTGAATATTTGACAAAATGATCATCTCCTATCTCCTTAATTACTTTGCGACTCTCGTAAAACAAACACTTTAACGCCTTGCGAATGATTTTACATGTATGAATATTAAAAAGCATAGAGAAACATAATTTAATCGAATCTATAAATGCTTTCTTTTAGAATTTCGAAACAAATGTATCATACAACGACTTTTAAGCTATTTTCCCGATCGCTGGGGCTGTAGATGACTATTACATGAGATTTCCTTTTTTTAAAAATGAACATTTAATATACATTGTCTGCCTGATAGGACTGACTGCTAAATCTTTCATACAGTGAGTTGGAACTATTATCATAAATTAGAGGTACAGGTACTGTGAAGTCAATAAATGATATCACTCCCCCAGCCTCCTAATAATTAAAATGGCAAAGTCCTTGTTTTGCTCTGGGAGACCCGAAATAAGTATCAGGTCAAAAAGTAAAATAAGAGGTGCACTATGGCATTTTGCTATAAAGAATCGGTGAAAGTATCAGAAAATTTTATTCAGTGGTATAGGAGTTGCGGATAAGCGACGAATACTCGACAATATTATAGGAAGAATGGCATTGTCCATGTATGGCTTTGGGAAACCTGAATATTGTGTCGGATCAAAAAATAAAATACGAGGTACGCAATGGCATATGTAACAAAGATAATGTGAAAGTCTTATTTAATTTCATTCAGAGGTTGCGGATAAGAGATTGGTTCCACTAAGCGTTACAGACGAACGGACGTACAGCTAGACAGACAGACGGACGGACATCCCGATCAATATATACACTCCCACTTTTTAAGCGGGGATAAAAAATTGAAATAATACGCATAAGGGTGCAAAGTCAAAAAATTTAAAGTTAAGATGATCGCCTTACGTATCATGTGATTCACTGGGTAATTATAGGGATATTTTTGTGATATATGAAAAAAAAATCAACTTTCTTTAATATAAAACTATACATGATTGATGTGTTTTACCTAATTAATAATGATTATTATCGTTAGATACCTCTATTTAGTACATGTAAGTGAGATTTTTCGTTGCATTTTACAGAGTTTTTGAATTGATGAATTATCAAATCTAAAAGAAACCTGTTCAGGATATTTAGAGGTGACAAAAAATGTAAATAGACTTATGTAATTTTTCAATAATATTCTAGAATATTGATAATTGCCAAAAAATATTTAATGGCTAAGGATATTAAAATAAATACACCGAGCTGGGGGCTGGGGTCTTATTATTTGTTATTTTTGACAAATTCAATTTCATTTACAAATATGGTAAGCAAAAAATATACATTTAAAAAAAATATCCAAAACATTATTGATTACTTCATAATATTTAATACGTATAAAAAGTAAAACATGCTCTGATACAGAGGGGAATAAAATTATGAACCGATATAAAGAAATCTCTCCGTTAACCGACAATTTTGGAGGTCTTGGAGCCACATTCCTTACAAGTTCCCGAAACTCGTATTGTATTTTGTCTTTTTGGGTTATCAGTCTCCGGGATCGTGGGGTCCACATCGCATTCGGTTTCTTTATTACATTTCACACAAAACATCTTCATTTTGCTGTCTTTTGTGGTTGTTCAAAAAAATCTATAAATTGATAACATCAAAATTAATCAAATTTGTTTTCAGAAAAAAGAAAATTTAACCATTTGCTCTCAAGTTTAATTAGATTACGTTAATAAGTTTATGTATGTCTCATGAGAATGTGTACAATTTAAAATCTTTTCCCCTTGAATCATCACTGAATGTAAAACGTGATATTTTTTTATTCTGAACTTTAATGTAAAGAAAAATAACTATACCTTAAAATTGAGATGAGAACTCTTTATTAACCCTATAAGGTTTGAGCTGATTATTTGGGATCTGAAATTATACAAAACATTGTAAGCGTTCCAATTTAATTTTCGTATTAGACGGCTACTAAACTGTCATGTTTATGTCAATTTAATAAGTAAGAAATAATTTAAAACACAAATCTGCCACTGTAAGAAAAACAAAATAAGGCAATCCAATTTTATGTAAATTCAGTTAAATTGCTATCGTTATTTTTAATACGTATTTGAAAAATAATTTTGGTTCAAAATCTTTGGAATAATCATTGACACAGCTAACTTTATTTCTTGTAAATATAGCCCTGGGAAGTACTTCGAACAAAGAATAAATTAATCTCTCTTTCTTAAAATCAAAATCATTCAGGCTGCTGTCTACGCAGTTCTAAAATTAGATTACGATCCCCTGCGACTTAAACGCAGTATTAAAAATACAGCTATTTGCAGATGTTCGCATTGCACTGTCGTTAAGCGATTACGAGGATATAACATATTTCACCTTATATGCGTAGTACAAAGCTTCTAAGGTTACGCGCTGACTCAAGTTTTTTATTCGAGGTCCCAACAAAACAACGTACGTCAGTGGCCTATTACTACGTAGTTATAAAAATAGTTCACATTTTATGTATCAAACTTGTAAGGTCACGATCTGACTCAAATTTTAACCTTTCAAGTGAGGTGTCATTCATAGGCAGATATACATAAGAACTTGGTTGTGTAGCTTTTACTGTACGGTTTAAAAAATCCATTACATATAACTGAAGTTTAAATAAAAAATCTTTACTTTGTATTTGTAAAAACACATATTCAGATTTATATATTTATAGACATGGTAGGTATAAATATTACATGTATATCAAAAACTGCATTAAATGGTGAAGCTATTAAATATTTTATCAGATTTATAAATTAAAAACTACATGACATACAGCAAGAAAATAAAAGGAATTATTAGAAACAAAATCAGTGGCACATGCATATCACCCCACCAAATTTACAAATTATTGATTTAAAAAAACATATAATTTGACAACGTTTATCCAAAAGTAATGGAGAAAAGATGATAGAAAAATCTACAAACAAAAAATCATCACTATTAAGGATAAGAAAATGTTTAGCAAAAGTGGTGCAGAGAAAAATTGATCATATCAAGTTTGTATAACACCATTCAAAGAGTTCAACATTCGAGGTCAATATAAGATTTGTTAATTTCTAAAGAGAGGTCGAGGTCTTGCAATAAAGAATAAAATGCGACATATAAATATTAAGGTTACAAAAATCAAAAGAAGTGGACAAGGCTGAAGATTTTGCGGAGAAACAGACAGACAGAAAGATACAATGATAGAAAGCAATATAATTTTGATGTGTCGAGTTGCGATTGGTTTTAGGAGGCAACTTAATAACAGAAATACTGAAATAGAAATATGAATTTAAAGAACAATATTTCGAATAAGATTTATAAACCTTTGAAATAGACTTTAAAATTTGAATTAAAACAGTTAGATTAAAAACATAATTGAATTATTTTTCTGAGTCGTACCGGTATGTTCGACAAACATTTTAACGATTTCTGTAATTTATTTTCATTTTCATTTCAAGGAGTACTAGTACATTATTTATTATTTTTTTATTGTCTCACGATATTAATCTAAAGCCTATAATTTTCAATTTATTTATATTTTGTATTCTAAAGGTGTTTTTTAAGAGAAAGAATAAAAAAATTAAAGACAGGACAAAAAAGATAACTTAATAATTTTCTTAAACACATACCTTTTGTGACTCTTGTGCACACGTTCAAGAGTACAATTATTTGAGTAGTTTACTTAATCTAAATCCAAATGAACGATAAACTGCGTATTTTAACCTTTTTATCTGCTCATTTTATTTACAGATCACGTGTCAAGTGTTTTTACTCGCGGCATCATGACTTCTTACTACGCAGTTTTTTCTTCGTCAATGAATATCTTATAGATTTTCTAGTGAGTAAAACTCTCTTGTTGCGGTAATAATGAGTGACTTCTCAGCGGAGGCCGAAATTTAAGTGCAATTATTTTTCATTATTTGTGGAAAATTCATTAATTGTTCATTTAAAAAACTTATTTGAAAAATTTATGTTTCAGTCGATCAAAAATTAATACTTCCAAAATTTGTTTTTTTTTCAATTCTTTAACATGTATTTTTATAAACATGACAGCTGATTTCTCTTTAAGTGATCAAATACAGGATTAGTGATGTGTATACAGTTTATATGATGTATCTGGTATAGTTATAATGATCTTGTTTACCCGAAGCAGTGTTCTAATTATTCATACACATGGTACCTGATGCCACCTCTGATATTTCGGAGGTCCGTGTTTGCTCTTCTCCTATTTTGTATTGTTTATGGACTTTTGGTCTTGAATACTGTTCGATATCTTCATACGGTTCATGTATCAATAATTTATTATAAATCCAACAATTGAGAATAGTATACTTTTGATCATCAATAAAACTTTAAAAAACATTTTTACCAGCAATGAATACAGATACTAGTCAAGGGTTAAGTATAAACTAGCTCACTTCCCCAAACACTTTTAAGATTGTTAGGCAGTGAATATCCTAAGAGGTCAATTCAGAAGATGCACTTTGTGCTAATCAATGACCTTCGAATTCCGTACCTAGTTTTTATCTTTGCAAACATGATACGCCATTTACATATAAATTACCTGAGATGACCCCATATAATTTTTCCACTGATTAAAGGTCACCGCACTATACAAGTTTGTAGGTTTAATTATGATATCAACGTTTAACCATAACTGATTTGATTTTACTGATGAATATAAAATTAATAATTTTTACTTTATTTTGTTTTTTGTAAATAGATGAATTTGAATAACTTATATTTATAATGTCGATGACATTGTCAGTAAATATAATTTATCATTGAGTCAAATGTTGACTGACGTTTTACATATATACTAATATACTAATTGTTAGGCCATTATTTATACACTGGATTGACGACGGATATTTCCCGATCATGACGTGACAGGGCGAAAGGGGATGCTCACTCCTCCATGGCACTTGGTCCCTACTCTGATGTTTTGGAGGTCCGTGTTTTCTCTGCTCCTATTTTGTATTATTTTATGGACTTTTGATCTTGAATTTTGTTCGTTATCTCCATATATTTCATTGAAACTATTTCGAATGGTATTTTCAAAAATCTTTTGGTGTAAAATATAAGCTGTCTAATGTTAGACTCAGTACATTTCGCCAGAGAGTCCAAACGTCTAGTCATTCAAACCCAACACAAGTCAGACAAATGGTCCTATAGTTCCTTTTTGCTATATTTTTCGTATTTTGTTTAATTATATTTGACATGAAAAAATTTAGAATTAATGTTTTTTTTAAATCTGTACAAATGTACGCAGTTTTAGTTTTTAATCACAATTTTAAAAGACAGCTATGTATTATGTACCATATGTAAAATCTTTTAATAAGTATTACACACATTTTTCCATAGACAAAATATTTCAAGAAATATAACTCTTCTTGGTAGATATATTCTTTTCTTACAAGTACAGGTAACATTGTGATTATATGTTCTGACTTACGAAGCAGGACTGTTTTAATTTGTAGATAGGAATTTAATGGATATGAAGGTAATTATCATTTATGCATATACCTCATATTTCTAATTTAATGTTGTTTTAATGAACTGCCAATTTCTTAGCACCATTGTCCGCAATAAAAATTATTTCTGAAAACTAAGCACCACTTCATACCTCATGCTTCATGCATTTTCCATTTGAATCCAATGCTACAAGTCTATCCTGAAAATCAACGTTAAGGTGTTTTAAGAAAATGTAATTTAGAGCAGGGGAGCTTTATTCCTTAATGAATAACAACCCGAATTTGTCTTATATAGAACAAATGAATTCAAACTTTAATTTTTAGATATAGTGGTTTCACATTGATTGAAGAGCGTTTATGAAATTATTTTTTAAAATTCAAATTGTTGAAATACCGAGATAGTCCGGTATCATAACAAAAAACAAGTTTTATAAAAGCCTGGTATATGAAATAACTGCATGTGAAATTACTGCATGTATACATCATTTCTATTGGTTATTTACAAATAAAGGTTGCTGCATCTCACTCTTAAAACTAAAGTCTTAAAGTAGTAAAAAGTAGTGGATGTCAGATTGACCTTGAGTAGATGTTTTATCTCGTCATGTCTAATGGTCTATGAAGTTTTATGAAGATTCGACTTGTCATCATAGATGATTTACTAATTATAACATTACAATAATTTTCATGCAGTTTAACCCTTTCTCTACCGGCACATTTTAGGTGACTTTGGAGACTTTTTGATATGACATTATTAAATTATTTCCAACTTTTTTATTCAAGGTGAAAGCTAGGTATATTGCATACCATTTTGTAGGCAATGTCTTAGAGATGATATTTTATGACTATTCAGATACTCAACAACTGACCTTATTAGTAAAAATGGAGGTCAAAGGTCAATTAAGTGCAAAATTTTATGGGATTTTTTGATACTTTTTAATCTTCAAGCTAAATATTTACTATGATGTATGTTGAAATAGAAATTTTGAATATACTCACAAAAGAGCATGATACTGTACTACATAAAACATATAAACTTTTTTATCAATTCTGGATATAACTACTTAAAAGCGGTTGCTTAGCAACCCAGAATTTTTTGATTTTCGGGCAAGAATTTTCGTTTATTACTCATCCTAGACACATTTATGCATCCCAGCACATATAAAAGTTAGATGTGAGGTCATAGAATTACAAGGGATGAACAGCAGATAAATTGTCTTAAAGTTTGACCTCATTAGAACTATTTTTAGGAGGTCAAAGGTCAAATAAGTGCAAAAGTTTCATCAATTTTTTTCAACACTTTTCAATGTTCTTGCCATAATTTTACACAATGGATGCTGAAATGGAAAATTCTGAATATACTCTCAAGAAGGGATCAGAGCTGCAATATCCATGCATCATATTAGTTCAAATATCTGTTTAATGACCTTTAAGTGGTTGCTAAGCAACAACTTTTTAAAGTTTTTGGCTATATACATGTTTTTTATTTCACATTCTGGACACATTCTCGACACTTTTTGTATATTTCATGATATTGTATGCAAGATATGGGCCATAAAGATGAAATAACATTTTTGTATTAAAAATTGACCTTGACTCTTGTTCTTAAGGGGGTCAAGGTCATATCAGTACAGAATTCTGCTTTAAATTGTAAGTAAATATCAATTTTGAAATGCTTCAATCATTGATAAAACATTTAATATTTGACGTGATAAAAATGGCAAACAACAAAATTTGCAAGCAAAGAATTCTGGTCTGCTTCTTACAAACCCCTAGCATAACATGTATACAATCTTTTTGTTAAACAAAAAAATCCATTCTCTTGATGCCATTAAAAATAATTTTTATTTTCATGGATTTAATCTAACAAGAAAAAATAAACTAATTGATTTCATTACAAGATTTTTGTGGTATAACAGAGATTAAGGGGTACAATAAAGACTTGACATGTTATCTTTGAGGTAAATAATAATAATACATAGCATTGGCAATATTTAATGCAAAACTGTTTAGTCAATAAGTTGAAAATGTGATGTTTATATCCAAATATACAAATCCAGAAATATTGCAAGACGAATTCCAAGTCAGACTGAAATCTTCAACAAAATGTTGAAGAGCACTTTTACTTTGTGTCCACCATTCTTTTATCAACTGTCATTTCTCTGTAAGACTGGAGGAAATTCTTGTACTTGTCCAAGACATTATTATTTGCTCTCAAGTACAAGTGATCAGCTTCTATCCTGTAAAAGATTTATATATTTTGAAACAGATACATGTCATTGTGTATATGAATTTACATTTATAAATAAAATTAAGAATGCTAAAAATACTACATTTATTTGATTTTCCTTTTAAAATTAATATTGTATTAATTATATGATTCAAGTAGTTAAATGATATTGCTAAGTCAATGTATCAGGACTGATAACTCAACAAACTTGTAGTAAACCATCATGGTAAAATTACTGAACTAAAACAAATAGCATATATGGCAATCTGACTAAAGCCTCTGTTTACGCTATAGCAACATATAAAAAAATCTGGCAGTGGATGGAATATCTAATTTTAATTAGATTAATTAGCTTGCTACGAAAGCCATGAAGGGACACATCAATGTTCAAAAAAGTAAAAAATGAGATCTTGAATTAGACAATCCAATCCCATGGATTACTAAATCGTTCCATCGATTTATAATTCGAGATCTCCAATTACACAATTTGATCTTAGGGATTACTTATTCGCCCCCTTGATTCATAATTTGAGATCTCGAATTACATACTGGTAATTCGTTTTCACAGATTAATAATTCGAGATCTCGATTTGTTACAACGTCAGTCTTCCAGTTTTGGCAATCTGTGCTCTTGGATTTCATGACAAATATGTACAGATACATCCAACCATTATAATCAATTTGTGCGTTCTATTTATTTTGTTTCAGCAACCGTCATTTCCAACCTCTTTCATACCTAATTCAACATATATTTATTTTAGAAATATTATGATTACACAGGACCCATATTCACTTTTACTATTTAGGACTTTCAATTATTCTAATATACACTTAATACAAAAACCTCTAAGATTTTTTGTTGTACAAATATCAGTACTAGCATATGGATTTGAAAATGTTCATGTATCACATCAACCAGTCTTGTTTGAGTTGAAAGGCTGCTTCCTTCTATTGCATACACTGTCCAAAATATGAATCAATATTTTGAGCCACATTAGCATTTTTTAAAATCTTTTATTAATTCAGGTGAGGTTTTATTTAAATCAAGGAATTGTTTTCTGATCCTGGGTCAATTTTTTTTTCACTTTGATTCAATGTGTATTTTTCTCATTTTGGACCGTAATATGTAATAAAAGGTTGGGTGTAAAATATTACAATATTCTATTCTTTAAACATGTATTACCATATCCGATATGTACAGATAAATAATTTTTAGTTAATGAAATCATGGGAAGGGTTTTTATCCTGCAACTACCCCTTGCATTGACCTAATAAAGGTAACCTAATAAACCAAAGCTTTATCCAGTCACCGCCCTAATAAAGTCTTGTGCATGTATTCCGATGTTCCAAAAGCATTGTGACGTCACGTACACTGCAATGTTTACGCCATGGCTTCATAGTTTCAACTGCAGAGATGTGCCTAAATCTGTCGGAATAAGCATGTTTTGGATGCTCAAATATAAAATTTTGTTGCAGGATAAACAAAATACATGGTTACTGTCTTGAAATATAAGCGATATTTGGGCTCGGGTCGAAAACGTAAGAGGGCTCATCAAGCCTCGCCCTCTATCACATTTTCTTACCCTTGCCCAAATATCGCTTATATTTCAAGATTTCAAGTAACCATGTATTTTATATATATTCCGAGGGAATGGATCATTTAAAGTAAGAGTAATTTGAGGGAACGAATTGACAATCTGTGAGAATGAATTGGCAATTTGTTATGAAAGATTGTCAATCCGAGAGAATGAATTGTATAAATCGAGAACTCGGTTTACTTTTATAAATTTTTAAAAATTCTATGTCCCTTCATGGCTTTCATAGATTGCATACCTGCATGGCTGCCAGGGTTGTAAAAAGAATGGAGACAATAGACTGCAATGTTACTTCAGGGCAAAATTCCTGGGGCAATGCTGTTCATGAGCGTGGGAGTGTTGATAAACCATCCAGTGAGTTTGACCACCCATGTACGATGTACGATAATTGGAAAGTGTCTGAAAAATTGAGAAAATGGAAATTTTAACCACATACTTTATGCAGATTGGAAATACAACAGCAGTTTACAAAAACAGCTTGTTCCATATCTCGGCATTCATTCAAATAGATATTACGTGTTTAAATAATGTGTTTGTATGAATAATCAAGCATCATAAGTATTATGTGTTTCAAACACTTATTCTTCGAAATAATTAAATCAAATGTTTATAAACTTGTATGAATGCAATATCATGAGAATGACACAAATGAAATTTGACTTTATTTTTGAAATTTTAGAAATACAGAAATTTTCAATACCAAAACAAAAATTTACCTGTTAACTGGTGTCCTTACATATTAATTGGCCTTCGTAGTTCATGGTGGGCTTAGCAAGTGGGTACATGTATTCACAGATGAAGGTAGATCTATTGTTGCATATGGTGCCAGCACCCTAAAAATTCAATGTGAAAGTGGTACATGTACACACTGGTACACATATTGAAAACAACTATCCATTATTATGGCAACTTTATTTTACTTTGAACTTTCGAGTGATTGTCAATGGCATCAAAGTTTAAAAGCAACACAAAATTGGCTGAACAATACGAAATATGCACACTGAAATATGAAGATCTATTTATAGTACGTGTACATTTAGTTTTCTTTTGAACGTGAACTAATTGCGTTTTAAACTTATAAACTATTCAGTCAATATACACGTATTCTCACCTGCTGATACCAAAGGCATGTCCGTATTATTTGATTCATTGATGTGATGATCTTCGTCGTGAAATAATCATGAAAATTGACGTTCAGATTTGGGATCCCCATCATGTTCATCATGTTGTTTGTTTACTGCCATAGCGGATTTCAATTCGTATCAACTCATACAGTGATGAGTCGTATTTATTTATCTCAGAAAAGTGTAACGCAAACAAATGGTAACTTGAAATTAATTTTATTAAAGTGTGGCGATATTATGGGCACGGCTGTTATTTAGTTTCAAATGCAAAACAAACAATATCATATGGGCAATGGGCAGCCAAGACAAGAGCATGCCCCAATCAAATGCACAAACAACATTCAACATCAAAGCAAATCATATATCAAGGTCATTACCAAAGGTCAAAGTTCATATAGTGGTAAGTCAAAGTTCATACAACATCAAAAGTTCAAAGTTCACAACATCAAAGTTCAAAGTTCACCATATATATATATAGAAAGCATTGACCCTGGGAGGTGCAGAGGTCAAAGCTTACAATATAATTACCAAAATGCCGCTTATACGCCAGAGGTGTTATTTACGATATATTTATTACGAATTACATGCCGCTTATGTGCCTTCTTTACTTGTCGTTTATATATCAGTCACTGTTTAGGAAACATTGGCCCTGGGAGGAGCAGTGGCCAAGGTTTGCGAAAAGTTCATCTAAGTTGGTCTCCAGGTAGACTTTTTCTTGTAACAGCCGTACCATTTGATAATAAGTGATCCTTTTGTAGGACAGCTGCAATAGAAAGAAAAACACAGCGCAAAAATCTATTCGAATAAGGGTTGGGTGAGGAGGGTATTTTTCTAAATATCTAAATTTGCAAAAAATTATCCTTTAAAATTGCACCAACCTCATTCATATAGTCTGTGAATGAAAAAGGATTAACGGAAGTTGACTCAGGGGGAATAACTCTAATTGATTATAGGGATTATAGGCGGATCTATGGATTTTGTAATATGGGAAATTAACACTTTCTTCGATAAAAGCCTCCAATTCGAATAGAATTGGATGTGATATTATCTCAGAAAAGTGTAACGCAAACAAATGGTAACTTGAAATTAATTTTATTAAAGTGTGGCGATATTATGGGCACGGCTGTTATTTAGTTTCAAATGCAAAACAAACAATATCATATGGGCAATGGGCAGCCAAGACAAGAGCATGCCCCAATCAAATGCACAAACAACATTCAACATCAAAGCAAATCATATATCAAGGTCATTACCAAAGGTCAAAGTTCATATAGTGGTAAGTCAAAGTTCATACAACATCAAAAGTTCAAAGTTCACAACATCAAAGTTCAAAGTTCACCATATATATATATAGAAAGCATTGACCCTGGGAGGTGCAGAGGTCAAAGCTTACAATATAATTACCAAAATGCCGCTTATACGCCACAAGTTCCCTGAGATGAGGATCAGAATGAAACTCAACCAGGGAACTCCGCCACCATGGTGGGGGTAGAGCGGCATATACGAACAGCCGTACCCAGGACCCTTGCTAATTGGGAAAGCAGGATTGACCATGGGCAACGATAGCCTCAAGTCCCCCCTGGAGAGAGTTTAGAAAAATGTTATTCCCCAACGAGGATAAGTGTACCCCATCCTGTAAAAATAAAGCTGGATCAGGTTTAATGTCTGAATGGCGAATTATTGCGCCCCCAGATTGCAAGACAATTGCAGCTATACCAGAATTAACCCGTTTGCGTGCATTTTCCATAGCTTTTAAATTTGCTGAATAGCGCCATTGGAGACGCGGAAGTATAAATGACCATATAATCCTACTGTTTCGAAAGTGATTCCTTAGAAATAAAACCAACTGCTTTGCAACCACCCTTATTTTTCTGATCGATACATTGCCCAAGTCATTCCCCCCACAATGTATAAGGATGAAATTAGGTACAGGGCCCACCTTTCCAAGAGTTCTAATCTTTTGTTTAGTTTTACTTAACTGGAGGCCACTATAACCCTGCCACCACAGTGAGATGTGTTTTCTTTCTAATGTCAAATTTGTACCACCTGGTCTTAATACAGCTTCCAAAAAGGCGTGCTTGATTATTGATGAACCCACCAACCATATTGTCTGTATATCTAAAATTAGATTAAAACTTTGGTATGCGAATGTAGGATTTGTAAGAATCAGATTTCCAACGACCAGATCTCTGAATGTCATGAGTTGAAAATCCTTTTAACGCGAGATCAGTACTCGCGCCGATACGAAAAGAGTGAGATTTGTATCCTGAGATACCAGGCAAATTTAGGTGCTTTACTGCCTTACAAAGTACCCCCGTAAATTGATATCGTGTGAGTGGGGATAAATCGAAGTGTCGAAATAATGTACCTGAACCCTCTGGACGGATGCTGACGTATTTAGTAATGAGCTGATATGGACATGCTACACCACCCTGCTTATCTATTTGAAGTACTGTGCCTTTACCTAACTGGTCCGTTTTCGAATACCGGATAGTCAGTAAGAGAGATTGCGTTTCGTGATTAATGGACAAATTGTCGAATTGAATTGTGTTTTGTTGATCACCTTCTCTTGTATTAACTGTTAATTCGCCAACTCTTAAAAATCCATGAAATGCCAGGGAAAATGCAGCCGAGAAAAGAGCTGTTTCAAAAGCATTGGTACATATTATGGGCAGAACTTGAATAATATTTAGCAAAATTGTTTTCGTTATTGGCAGTCTAGTATCTACTTTATGTCTCAAACGTTTCATGCCCTGCAATAACTTTGTAACCAAGAACTCTGGGGTTGGATCGTGAACACTCTGCAATTTACAATAAAATGAAATGGCAGACAAGTATGACCTCACGGTACCATATGCGAGGCCGGATGACGATGAATGCAAAACGAATTGCACGACTGAGTTTAATGTAGGGGGCCATGGCGTGCAATCAATGAGTCTACATACTTTGTAATATGCTGCCATTCCAGCCCGATGAGATTTATGTGTGTTTTCAGATACTGAGGCGTCTAAAAGTTTAGCAAACTCAGGCTGGAGATGATGTTGCGGAAAGATAGGGGCACTGGGCAAGGGTGTTCCCTGGCATGTGGAGCTGCTTGTCGGAATCTGGCCCACTGCTTACGAGAAATTGAATCAGCAACTACATTGTCTTTACTTGGTATGTAAACTGCACGAAACAGAATATTATAATTCATAGAAGCAAGGACAAATGGTCTAAGTAGTTTCATGACCCGCTCTGATTTAGAAGTGAGTTTATTTATTATAGCGACTACAGCTTGATTGTCTATATGGAGAATGATCTTTTTATTAGCGAGTTTGTTACCCCATAAATAGACGGCCAAGACCACCGGAACTAACTCTAAAAAGGTCATGTCTTTAAGTAGGTCATTGGACGCCCAGGTCTCTGGCCAAGGGTAAAAACACCATTCCCCTTTGAAATAAGCACCACATCCCAAGTAAGACGAACCGGAACTATCTGTGTAAAAATTAATGTTGTTGTCTGACGTCCACTCAATATCTAAAAAATACACAGTCCCATTAAATGATTCAAGAAAATTAATCCACATGTACAAGTCCTGACGCATTGATTGAGTTATCCTTATGTGATAATGTAATTCTGAAACTCCTATTGTAGCATTATAAAGCCGACGCAGAAATGCCCTACCTGGTCTTATGGCTCTTGTAAAGAAATTCAGTTTACCTAAAACAGATTGTAATTGTTGGAGTGTCATCTTGCGTTGAACAACGAGATGGTGTAAAATACCCTGTAGCTCTAAGCATTTTGAATTGGGGATCTTAACTAGCATATGATAAGTATCTATCTCAAAACCTAAAAATGTCATAACCAAAGTAGGGCCTTCAGATTTGACCTCGGCAATAGGAACACCTATATCATCGCAGACGTCTTGAAAATTCGACATAAGATCTTGACAGGAATGGGCATCCCTCCCAGCAAATATAAAATCATCTAGATAATGATCCATTGTTGATGTTTTAGAACGCTGTATCGTAGCCCACTGCAAAATTGTAGAAAAATCCTCGAAAACCTTACACGAAATGGAGCACCCCATAGGTAAACATTTGTCTATGAAATAATTACCCTGAAATTTAAAACCCAGGAGATCAAAATCGCCGGGAAATATTGGAAGAAGTCGAAATGCGGATTTTATATCTCGCTTACCTATGAAAGCCCCCTTCCCTAATTTAGCAATCATCTGAATCACTGAATCAAAGGATGAATATTGTACAGCAGTTTCACAAGGATCTATATATGAATTTACACTACTAAACTTCGGGAAAGAGAGGTGCGTTATTAGACGCCAGCCCAAATTATCCCCCTTCGGCACTAGCCCAATTGGAGATAACCTAAGATTAGAAATTGGTATTTTCGTGAAAGGACCCTGTATCCTCCCCATTTCAATTTCTTTATCGATTTTCTCTTTAAGTTCATTAGGATGATCGTCCGCGGATTTCAAATTATTACATTGAATTGGTAATCTAGGCCCATGATAATGAAGTTTAAACCCTTGAGAGAACCCTTGGATTAGGCGATTTGCTATGATTCTGTTAGGATAGTGGACGAGACATTTTTTAAGGGCGTGTACATTAATAGGCGTTGAACCTAGACGCCATAGATTGCGGGGTGCGGAATCTTGGTCTTGAGTAGGTGGGGCGCTGGGTGTTGCTGCTGGAATACCCCCTATAATTGGTATTTGCATTGGTTGAATACCCCTTATAGTTGGTATTTGCATTGGTGGTTTGTGGACGAAAACTTGACTGTCCATAGAATTGACCACTTGAATTTTGTTGGCGAAATATTTGTGCGGACCCAGTGTTTGAGGCTTGTGTAAGGCAATGTATCTGTGGATGGTTACTACCACATCGAATACAACTGTGTTTATACATGCATGGGAATTTGTCACAAGATCCCTTGTAATTGAAATTGAAGCATTTATCATTATTGGTTTTGGGTGCATTTGTTACGTTATAAGCGGGCCCAGAATGCATATACATCAACCATAATTCCGAGTCAATTTCACCCCAAGAAGACACAGGATTTTGCTCTTTGCGCAGCCTAAACTGCGTATCATATTCTTTCCAAGATATAGCCCCCCTGCTAACACCCATTCTTACGGTCTGTATGTACTTAAGTAGGTCAAGAGTCTTGGCGGGATGTGCACTCAAGTACACACTTGCAAATATGAGCATAAGGTCAGTCCATTGCTCAATATTTTCTACCTTTTTTGGGTTGGCATCTTTATAAATTATCTCACCCATACTATTCATAACTAATTTCTTTTCATCAGACCCTGATTTTGGTGTTACCAATGTGGCCAAATCAATATACTGCCCACTAATAATACGTTGTTTGACTGTGCTAGAAACATTCATACCAATCATATGTATTGATGGGACAGGAGCAGGGGTGGTACCAACATCTGTTGGAGTTGAGATTGTTGCTCCAGAGGTGGTCGGTGCAAAGGATGGCCCTGCACTTGTCGTCAACATGGGTTGCGCTTCCGCCACAACGGAAGTTGATGGAGCCTGGGTCGGTGGTATTGGTACATGTACTGGACATCCTGCCGACGCCGTCGACGAGTACGTCTGGGAATTCACAGACACCGTAGCCTGACTACCACTTGGCTGCTGTGTGGCAGTCGCTGCTGGTTGAGCCATTCTACGCTTCTTAGCTCTCGGTGGCATCGTGTTCAGAAAAGAAAAGAAAATTCTTTATTTATATATATATATATATATTATTTTTTATATTTGTAAGAAGAAATTTAAATTAATTATCTCCTCATTCTCACATGCTTTATTATTTCTTTTTATAAAGTTAGCCTAATTTTTTATTTATTTATTTATTTATTATTATTATTTTTTTATTATTATTATTATTATTTTTTTTATTTATTTATTTTATTTATTTATTTTTTTTTTTTTTATCTCCCCTTGGTATGGAAATCTGAAACGTGTCGGATCAATTTATAAAACAAAGAAAATTTAATTAAGCCAAAGCAATATGATATAAATCCTAACGATCAAGATAATTGACTTAATAATCATTATATCTTATCACATACTTACAATGAAAACTTATATAGATACAACGTGGTCGGCTAATACAAAATGGCCACAACAGACGCTAGAAAAAATTATCATTATAAAATCAAGGATCATCGGGAAATCATGAAAAAATACTCCTAAATTGATTGCAGCAAACAACTACCAAATAGATAACAAAAACATCCATATGTATTATACCCATTAACTATTTTTCTAAATATCTAAATTTGCAAAAAATTATCCTTTAAAATTGCACCAACCTCATTCATATAGTCTGTGAATGAAAAAGGATTAACGGAAGTTGACTCAGGGGGAATAACTCTAATTGATTATAGGGATTATAGGCGGATCTATGGATTTTGTAATATGGGAAATTAACACTTTCTTCGATAAAAGCCTCCAATTCGAATAGAATTGGATGTGATATTATATTTACATTTGCAAATGTTTTCCTTTATATAACACTACTAAAGGCAAGCGTTTTTACAACTGTGTAAATACAGGTATGGGGTCAAGAGGTCATAGATGTGCGTTTGGATAAACGTTCGACGTAATTTCTCTGTGACGTCATAAAGGGTCGACGCGCGTTTAGTGGATTACATTCATGCCGTTGGGTTTGAAAATTTAAGGCATTTCACACGTTAAAAGTAACAATCAGGCAAATATAAAGTATGAATAAGTCACAAATGTAAATATAAGTAATAAGGTATCATTTTTTGAGTTTTATTGAGATGTAAAACGGGTTGGCACATGATCAAATCTTCCATAAAGCCCTTCGGTCTTTATGGGATTTGATCATGTGACCAACCCGTTTTACATCCCAAGAAAACTCAAAAAATGATACCTTATTTCTTAAATAAATGCGAGTTTTTGTATTGTTAAATTTCGTGCAAATATAGATCTAATTAAATTGCAAATTAAGTATACAGTATAACAAGATACAACGATATTAAAATCTAGGTTTTTTTTTTTTTAGTAAAGATCGATCGCCACGTTTAGGCTACAATTTTTCTCAACATTGTATATCACTACATAAAATTTACATCATTTACATGTGGATGAATAAATTAACATTTCATTTCACACAAAATGCAGAACGATAGTATATATTTGTTTTTTGAAATCTATTTTTTTGTATTGTGCATTTATTTTAGTAAAAAATATCTACTGAAATGGTCAAAAAAGTCTTAATTATAAAAGAATTTGTTGTTTCGAGTAAGACGCAACAATGTCGACCTTGACGTTACAGGTAAATATTGACCGATTTTTCCATAAAAACTATGCGAAGGTCACAAATTCAAATTATCGTAATTAAGAAAATACTGGGCGTAAGAAGGGCTGTAAGGGCTTGTTGGAAAGGAAATTTTCTCTACTTTTACCAGCTTTATTTTGTTTTCCCTATTTCAACACAGAAATAAACGTAAAACTGAGCTTTGTTTAAACATTACTAATAAAATCGAGAAAAAACACATAAGTGCAAGAAAATTCTTGTTTTAAAAATATACTTTAAAGTAATAACAATATTTTTTACATATTTTAAAAGCAGAGAAAATATGCTTTAAGAATATACCATACTTTCTTTATAAAGTTAATCAGGAAAAAAATGTCAATCGTTCGGAAAATCGGCAATTGCTTTGGAAAATTACGCCATTTTCAAAAAGTCACGTTTGTCTTTACAACGTAAAATCGATTAAATACCGGCAATCAAGACATAATCTTTTTAGATATTTTAAAAGTAGAGAAAATTTCCAAAAAGGTGATATATAGTTTATATACCTTCATGCTACCATAAAATAGATACGGAAATCTTATTTTCGCGAAGTCGTGTTTTAACGCGCCAGCGGTCAATTTGACCGGTACGGAAGTGAAGGGGTTAAGTAACAAGATACAATTTATTATAAGTGTTTCTGTACCTGTTATAGTCAGCAGCGAATGGACTTCTCTATACTATAGCTTTACCAGGTTTCTTATCCAATACGCTTCTATTCCGAATCAGAAGAAAAAAATCGTACAAACGATTTTCTAAATCGTACATGTCAAACGATTTTTAAATCGCACAAACGATTTCACAAATTGTACAAACGATATCTAAATAGTTCAAACGATTTAAAAAAAATCGTACAAACGATTTTTTAAATCGTACAAACAATTTCCTAAATTGTACAAACAATTTCCTAAATTGTACAAACTTTTTTAAGAAATTGCACAAACGATTTAATAAATTGTACAAACGATTTAACAAACAAATTGTACAAACGATTTAACAAATTATACAAACAATTTATTAAATTGTACAAACGATTTCACAAATTATACAAACGATTTGACAAATTGTACAAACGTTTTCTTAAATCGTACAAACGTTTTCTTAAATCGTTCAAACGATTTTATAAATCGTTCAAACGATTTAAATTTTTTTTTCTACATTGTCAATATGGCACGAACACGCCGTCGTAGCTTAGTGTGTTATGAAATTTTTAATTAAATATACTGATCCTAATTTTTTTCTATGATATTTAACCTTTCCGTTTGGATGTGGCCCAATATTTGAAGAAATTTTAATCCATCATTTACTAACTTTTGTTGAACGGTATATTTGGAATACAGACAGTTGAAACCTTATCTGTAAAAAATGCTTTTAATATAAAGTCCAATCTTTCTTCTTTATTTATCACGGTGTGAAAGGTTTTAAACGATGAAAACGACATAAATAGACAAATTTCAAGCAGCAAAAATCTACAGGACTTGTAGTTTACACTTAAAACATTACAATGTCTATTTCATTTTTAGATTTCCAAAACCTTTATCACATTGATACTATTTAGCTATACACAAACATCTAATGTTAATTAGGATACATAAAATTTAAATTCAAACGGATACATTACAAGATGAACTTGTAACACATCATAGTTTATGATAGTAACAGATGCATATTCTACAAATATCTAATATCATTACTTTGTGAACAATTATTTGCGAAAGGAACAAAGATATAAACTTTTGGTATACATCACATTCACACCATGCTTTATATCATCTTATGTTTAAGAGGTGTATTACATGTAATATCAAACCACTATTATGGACGTATTTGTCCCACACACTGTACATCTCCCCGATATTCTGGTTTCCTTTCTTTTCGGGTTATGACTTTTAGGAATGGTTGGATTAACTATGCATTCCGTTTTCCGTTTACATCGCATACAATACATCAACATCCTTAAAAAATCTTTCTGTGAAAACAAAAACAAATTGGTATTATTAAAAAACTTTATCTTAAGTTCTGAATTTTTTTCAATAGTAATTTTAAAAACAAATATAAAATACGAAAAGATGTCAAACACTACACGGGGGCTCTGTGTAATATAAATATTACTTTTGACTGGAAAGCGCATGCATTATCTATTGTTAAAGATATACCGTAGGTATTCTTGTCAAAATGGAATGTTTCGTTCGATTGATGCAAGAGACAATCGGTAGTGGTGAGTTTGGACCAACCTTTATGATTCTAATGATCTGAAATGAAATAATAAAGATTATACTTAAGTTATATATCTTAAAAGCAATTTTTTACCCACACGATGAATTTATATTCATTGCTAGCGTTTCAACTATCTGTATATTAGGGGTTCTGGATATTTTTTTTTACTTCTCTGGGAGATTTGTAGAAAAAAATGATTCCTATAATTTCTGTATGATAATGGTCGTGGAGTTCAGGGTATTATAAAACAAATATATTTACAAAATTCTTAGACGGTGTTGATTGTTTACAGAAACTTGTAATTTACTGTTTTATATATAACATGCACGTATATATAAGAAGTTATTGATTATTGTATTTTCATAAGAGTAATATAATTTTTCGAACACAAAAAAGGCAAATCGAATCAGTGAATGCACTGTAATATATATATCAACCAATTATTGCCGCTGTCTGTATTTTGAACCAATATAGGATCTCCCATGGTTGATTTGTATGTTTTTCCTCTCAGGCAGACCAAACACACAACGAGTTCAATGAAATTAACATATAGCCACAAATCATGAAAGAATCGTTTTTATCACATTTTTAAAATATATCTTTGATAATAAATGTTTTTATTTGTTTTTATAAATGAGTCAACATTTTTTTAATAATTCACTTCATCGCTTTTACGCAAATACCGTTGTGACATCACAACAGTTGTAAATGAAAAAAAAAAATATTACAATGAATAATATCCGGCAGATAAAGGAGTGTACAGGTGATAAAAAATTATTCTACCTATATATAGAAAAATAATTTTATTAACCTGATTTCATAGAACAATGCTGTATATGAAATCAGAAGACAAAATGCTTGATATAAGCAGGGACCTTTATACTAGGTACCTGATGAAACATTCTGTATTCTACTTATTCACACAAATTCCAGTTTAACGACACAGGTACATAGAATTACACACCTTTTGTTCAAATGTGTATTTTCTGAAAATCACATTTTAAACAGGGTAACACACGGAAATTTAAATGGCCACTGAATATTTATATCCTCCCACTGAATACTTAATTGATTGTGAAAAGAAGGGAAAATAAAGATTACTTGGCTTCACTCGTACCAAATAGAAAAAAAAGAAAAGAAAAGTAAATGGGATAAATAAAATACAGCTGTATATCTGTAAATTAAAATGAAAATTAAAAGTTACATATTATATTGTACAATATAAAAAGTACAGATTAACTAAACATGCATCATAGATAAAGAGGTTTTACAAACAATTGGTTATTTTTTTTTTACTTTAAATGCACATTGAGCAAGGTTTTAAGTAATTTGTTTGTTGATTGTTGATTAAGGACATCCTGAAAATTATTTTGTTTATGAATATACACTTAACTAAATTTCCTTATTAGATACTTGGAATGTGCATGCAAATGTAAGATAATTGAAGACTTACCACTCGTTTTGGTAACTAAAATATGCCACTAAAATCTTCCACCATACCCGTTTTTACAATGTTTCTGGGGGATTTACTTTTTCGCAGAATTTCAACTTTCGATTTGTCGGGGTATTGTTGGCCTGTGGTTATTTTCTGTAAATATCATAGATATCTATATTATACAAAATTACGTCAGCATATAAATATGTACTGTTAACCATGAACACGTATATTTTCAAGCTTTAGTTTCCTCAGTTAAAAACTAAACGAGTTTATGAAACTCATATATTAAAAGCAAAATAAAAACTGACTTTGCAGAATTGAGATAGATACTAATATCATCAAAAATATAACAAATAAAATCTGTAAAATATTATGAGTCATATTAATAGATACCTGGTATGTATGCATTGGTATTGTAAATATGAGTGCTACCTGTTCGAAGATTTCGAGAGAGGGTCATTTTTAGATACTTCAATTAAGAAATAAAAGATTAGAACATTGTCATAATTATGTTCAAATAGTTTTTGTTGGTGAGCAAAGTTTCATTCAGTGTGATAAAATGGAACTCTTGTTATTAACAAGTTGTTTCTTTTATTACCAAGTTTTGTTACTATGGAGCAGACTTCACAGCATTGTAACCTTAAAGCATAATACTAGTATGACAAGTTTCTCAAAAGGACTCTCCTCAAATCAGTCCCTATACACTTCAGTGTGACGCTATTCCCACCTAATAAAATTATTTTACCTTTTGGTGTTTACTGCAGTTTAGTACAATCCTTTTAGTCGCATTCACTTCTTGGTTTTCTGAGTACGATTTTAAACTTAAAGCTGCAATCCATCAATTCCTTTAGGCAAAAATTGTGCCTCGTTGTTACATGTAGAAGACCATTTTTTGCATTCATATAAAGCAGAATTTATTCAAAATCGTATTCACGATAAGAAGAAAACGCTTGCTGTGGCATTCATCTCGACATTTAAATATACCAAAGAAATCTTCAATCGTTTACTTCCTTAACTTATTCCGGATATGTAGCAATATACTCTAATCAACTGCATATTGGAGGCAAGCTATGGACAAACAATTTGATGAAACATGGATATGAGGAGTCTCGTTTAAAGTCATCATAAAGTTCTATGATCAACAGCTGATCAACACAATGATTTTGTCAGCAAAAACAATCTATCATAAAGTCAAAGGCTGATTGCCGTGTTTCCCACTTACTGTTTGGACATTATTTGTACAACACAGTGCTATTCAATACTTTTAAGGATTGCATAGATACGCACCCACAATTGCATTTACACGTAACAGTGAAGTTGAATGGTTAATTCCGACACAGAGGCGCTGGCTCAACATGACTAGAAGATGGAACATATTCATTCAAATGGTTGATGACCGACTCACCAAAAAGTTTTTTTTTCTGATGTTATCAAAATAATGGAGCATGGTGTTTACAATAAAAAGAAATTTATATGACTTAGATATGCACACTCATTTTAACGTAGCTACGGATAGCGATCACGTGACATTGCATGTGAATTCTAAATTAAGAATTTTTCGATTTGCTTATTCCGGAAATGCGCTAAAGTAGGGTCAATTACTTTTGCGTTCAGTATATATTTGAAAAAGACTTTAATGTACCCAACAACCTGCCCCGAGAAAAGTACATGGGAAACGTTATAGGAAGCTCAACTATAAAGGTAGATCAAGTAAATTAGAGCGATTGAGAGGGTATTACATCTTCAGAAACAGGAGAACAATAAAAAAACTATTTCATGAAATAAAATATCCGTACGGTATATCGCAAACGACTTGCACCCCCTATTCTAAAGCAGACGACGCAGTGTGAATCATAAAATGACATCAAATCGAACGAGGGACGAAGATTTGTTGAGATAAGGAACTTGATAAACCAGTTTATATGCGTATAGTCACAATGATACGTTTGTATCTTCACCACCTGCATACGGGGTGTATATATCTCAGTTGATTTGATACGCAAGAGCATGCTCTATGTATGAACAATTTCTAAAACGAGGTAAATTATTGACAAACAAGTTGCTGAAACAAGAATATCAGCAGTCTCTTTTAAAGTCATCATTTCGTAAGTTCTATGGTCGATACAATGACCTTGTCAGCAAAATCTATGGTCGATACAATGACCTTGTCAGCAAATACAATTTATCATTGATCAAATGCTGACTGACGTTTTTCATATCAATTGTTAGTCCATTATTTATACACTGATTTGACTACGGATTTTCCCGTTATTTCACGATCATGACAATGAGCACATGGCGGGTGTGACCGTTCAGCAGGGGATGCTCACTCCTCCATGACACCTGATCCCACCTCTGATGTTTCGGAGGTCCGTGTTTGCTCTGCTTCAATTTTGTATTGTTTTATGGACCTTGATATTGAATGCGGTTCGTTATCTCCATATCCTTCATATACTAAAGTGACATATACTCTATGTCACTTTAGTATATGATGAATATTTTGAATTTCAAAAAAAAGATGTATATGACATAGGTCCAAAGGGCCGGGTGTAATGTATTTGTTTTAAGTTAATTCAACGTTGTATCAAAAATATACACATACATCATTATATTAAAATACTAACTTACATGTATTTACACACTTAAGTGTTTACGGATTTTTTCCGCTTTTCCCGATCATGAAAAGGAACACAGCGTATGTGACCGGTTGGCAGGGGATGCTCATCCTCCATGGCACCTGATCCCAACTCTGATGTTTTGGGGGTCCGTGTTTTCTTTGCTCTTGATTTGGTTATTTAATGTTCTTTTGAGCGTGGACACTGCTCTTTATCTCCGAACTTCATTGAATACCGAAGTGTTTTTTATGTCGTTTAACTTGATTTCACATTGCCTTTACTTTCCGTGTAGAAATAGACATGAGACAAGGAAGATCTTTTGCAAAATTTCTTTCAGCCTGTTTTAAGGATCAGTAAAGTATTATTATATATTTTGAGATATCTCATGTTTCGTATTTTCATTAAATGTTTTTTTCAAACTACTGAATTCTCTTTATTGAACGTCAAAATTTACGCACTTGAATAATGCTTAATAACCTTAATTACCTTCAATACAAATTTCTGTCTCGAATATAAACAATTATGTTTTAGAATTAAATTTTGCATAATTTAAAAGTAACGTCAGGCGGAACTTCATTGTGACGTAAGCAACTTATGTTTAACTATATAGAATAAATCTTGTATCCAATTAAATGACGTGTTATTGTACAACTAAAATTAAATTATTACGAGATTTTGGTACGGAATACATATCGTTAATTATTTTTATTGAAAAACAGAATTGTTTCAAAGTTGATGATAACGAACCTTAAAATTGCAATGAAAATATTTATGAGAACGTCAATGCATCTAATTGGCATTTTGCAGGAATCTGACGCAAAATGATCTGCCAAATGAAATTTTAGCATTTCTTTGATGTATTGGATTTCTGTGAATTAGAAATAATTTTCCGATACCGTATTTCATTAAAAATTAGCTTCATAATTGGCCTAAATGTTACTTTTGAAAGTGGCCTTCTAGCTGGGTCATCTCTCCATGATTTTGATACGGTATTTATGTTTGTTTGATTCCAAAAAAAAAAAAACAAACAATCATTTGTAAAGAAAAAAATAAAAAGAAAAAAAGAAAGAAAGAATGGAGAGAAGATACAGACCACCCTCTCCCAAAAAATGCAATGTGTAAATGCATTGCTTTATTGTCATTTTGAAATCCATACAGTGTATTATGTTTGAAATGATGCTAGCTTATTGGGTAACCAGTGAACTGGAATCGAAAAGTGTTGTGGGTTAATTTTTTTATTAGTACATTTTCTTACAAATATTTAATCGTTTCTTTGACTTAAAATGCAAACAAATAACAATTCGAAAATTGTAGAGCGTTGACAAAGACTAAGAAAATTAATAGAAAAAACGTGTTTAATGAATTTACATTTTGTACCAAATGACTCAACAAACATACTTCAAGGCATATATCGGCAATTCAGAAATACAATATCGAAAAAATATTCCTCTGGCTATCTAAATGTTTTAGAATACTTTTTTTTTTATTAACGACGGAATTTTCACTTTTCAAGTCCACCCAGTTTTCTGTCGAATCTAAATGAAGATCAAACTCGTTCTGTAATAATTAGAAAAGGTCACTGAGCCTTTTGCTCGAGTCGTCAAAAATATTTTGATTCATCCACATGAACACTCTTATGGCGTATGACATATTTTTTTCAAGAAAAACAAGAACACATATCAGAGAAAATAAGTTTATCTAAAAACAATATAAAATGAAAAAAACCTTTATAAACATTAAACAACATTATTCATCTCCTTAATTTACTTGAACACAGTTGGTGTAGGTTTTAACATGTTGACCCTTAAAATTATTCTTCTCACAGAATGTTTTTCTGATAATAATCTTATTTAAGAACGAGTTTTTCTGAATATTGCATATTCATTTAATCCATTTGTATAAAATACATTTCAACACAGGTTTTAATGACTTCAGTTGGATTTATAATATTCCATGATAAACTTGAATGAATTGATTACTAGTATTCTAAGATTTAATATTCAACAGATTACTGAAAAGTAAAAAAAGAGCAAAATGAACACAGAACGATTACACAGTAATCTGAAGGGGACCTTTTATGCCAAGGATAAAATATTTACATAAAAAAGTGTAAATCAAAACATTTAATTTCATTACAAAATAATGGGTTTATATATATGTACAAGCTTTTCACTTCCTTATGGTTTTCTATTTCTTAATATTGGATTTTTATGATTGATTTCATCATTGATGAAATAAAGAAAACAGTATTTCCAAAATGTGTCATTAAGACAATGGAAAATATACATGATTAAAAAAGAACTTTTACTCTGTTCTCCATGAAAACGAGTTAGGGAAAAAGAAAGTAAGTTTATCAATGTTTGCATTCTTATGTTTGAAACGATTTCTACTCATTACAAAAATTGATGATACAAGTAACGATAAATACGTTTATATTCTTAAAAAAGTTTATATGTCATTGAATACATCAAGTGGTGGCATATATTGCTAAGAAGTACAAACATGTAAAGATGCTTACAAATAAACACACTACGTGGTAAGGTTCAAAACTGCAATTATTATGGAATTTAATTTTTAAGTCGATTTTTTTTCAATTTTAGTCAAAATGCCGCACATCAGTTTTTACACTTCTAAACTTTTAAAAATTTACATCTGTTCGACACTAAAATGTAAATATAAAGATATAAATATAAAAAAGAATAAAATCATGCACATGTATGTGAACCTTCAGATAATAATCATTGACTAATTAGTGCGAATACGGATATAGCAAATTGACGGATATAGCGAAGTGTTTCGGGGTCCCCATCAAAATTCTTTACAAAACTTTGTAAAGTTATACAGTTATAATTCTGATATAACAGATTTAGGGATATAGCAAACTGATTGATAATCCCATAGAAGTTTAAAAAAAATGAAATTGACATCTTTTATAACAAATTTTCAAGGATTTCAATATTTGTTATATTGAACTAACTTTATTTTCAGTAAGTATTTGTATATAAAATTCAATTTAGAATAAAACCTTCGCTATTTAAAGTAAGTTTTATAATAAATTTTTCCCTAATATATGCGGTAGTAATACTTGAAGGAAAACGTGCGTATTGTGATTTCCTAATATAAAGTTATTACTTATACGTAATCCCCAGAACTTTGCTATAACCGAGTTTTACTGTATACAAAAGGATAAAATTATTATGAATATATTCGAATTCTGTATGTGAACCTTCGGATAATAATTATTGACTATAATACACAAATATTCATTTTTTACAAGTTACTAACTCTAGTTGTGCTATTTTGAAGGAAATTATTTTACAAATGCATTGCATGCTAAAAAACTGTAAAAAAAAATATTGACAGTAAAACTCTCCAGATTTACACAATACCAGGTTTTCACTTGAAATAAAAAATCAAAGGACAGAGAAAAAAACCAAATAATTTTCGGAAATTTAAATGCCAATCTAAGATAAACCCTTAACTCAATGTACGAATCAAAATGGCGTTGATCAATTAAAGGCTTCGGTCCCTAAAAAACAACAAAGAGTTCTTAATACGTTTCATCAATTGCACTTATATGTGTTTAATCCAGTTGTTGATCAAACTTGACTGGAAGGAGTCAATATCTTTCTCATAATGATGCTTGCATATTTATGTTCCGTTATAAATATTAGAACTCTATAATTTTGAGTTGAAAATATGCGCTTAAACTATTTGAGAATATTTGCAAAGCTCTTTGAATTCAAAAACAAACAAGCGGGTGAAATAGCTATCAATGATTTAAAAAAAAAAACATGCAAATGTAAGTCATGTCCACGAACTTTCCTACATGTGTGAAGAAGACGTTATAGTTTTTACTGTTTAAATGAAGACAAACGGAATACATTTGAATAAAACTTGAGTCGTAATTAAAGGTACACAACTGTAAAGTAGACTTGTTCCTTGTAATATAGCGTATTAAAAATTTATCAGGGGTACGGCCCCACTGAATCCCTGGTTCTCATGAGCCTGATTACTCTGACGTTGAAACAAATAAGTTCGAAAAGCACACAATAATAGAGATTTTCCAAATCATTATATCAACTTTATTAACATACCTTCTCATGTTGTTAGAAGGGAACCGTTCCTCCCAATCTGATCGTAATGCTCGTATCTGTAAGATCAGTAAATGGTCAGAAAGTATTTCAAAAACTATTTAATTGATTCCTGCCTCTCTCTACACTTTTTTCAAAACCTAAATTTTCAAATACTATTCATGAACCATTAAGATTTTATTATCCCCGTCTCTTACGTAAATGGACATGCGTGTTATTTAAACAAAACCCTTATTTCAACATTCATATAATGCAAATATGTATCTCCATGATGGACGCTAAAACTATCCAGAAAAAAAACCAAACCCCCCTGGATGGAATTTTTTAGCATGGCTGAAAACTTTTGAAACCCTGTGGAGGCTTATATATACATACTCGATAACAGTTTCCGCAAAGTTTCGCCACTGAAACTTAAAGTTTTCAGTTTCGTTTTGGATAATCTACAGGAACAAAAAAGGCTCTAAGTGAACCCTGTTTTTGTTTGATTTCATATTCATTTTATCAAATCATTGAAAGGGCGTATATTTTCAAGACTTGTCCTGCAAATGTTAAACATATTACTGGAAAAGGCAAACATATAAAGTACATGTACCCTCTATATCTATATATTAATTGATTTGAAATTCGAGTTCAAAAGCATACACTGGTTAACTAAATCCTTTAGAGTTCAAATTTTCAACCCTACATTTTACATACCCAGTGCCACATTATCCTGAACAACTTGAGTATGTCCAAGTCGCACTCTCCTAGTTGTATCTGCAAAAGTTAAGAGTTATGAGATTAACAACGTGTAAACTTCCGAATAAATATTTGAAACGTAATGTATTTATAAAAATGATAGTTAACTTTGTAGTTTGTATGATACATGTAGCTACTTGTACATTTGATTGTAGTAAAAGTCAGCTATTTTCCTGTGTTGAACTTTATTAGCCGGGTTTGCTGAAAGCATAGCCCTCGGTATAGGTGTCACAATTGCCTCAGTTACTATTCAAATAGACAATATCAACAAAAAGCCAAACAGCGTTCAAGACACTTCCGATATACAATGTAGTTTTCCTGAAATTCTATAAAATCGGGCAAATCATGAAATAAAATGCATTTTTTATTTGTGAGAAAACAAGCATTAAAATGTTTTCGTTTCTAATTCATTGTCTACGTTATAATCGCAAAATTTAACGTTTTCACTTATAACATACAATCGTAACTATTCGGCCATTATCGTAACCACAAATAATTACGAGTGTGATCTGATTGATGCGCATGAATATATTTGAATTAATTTCGACAGCTGATGACTGCAAAGGAAGACTACATGGTGAAATGAGAAAGAAAGCTGGTTTTGCTAGAATTCTGTAATTAGCAAATTTTATTAATATTTGACATGTTGTTTCTCTAGAGCTGAAAGAAATCAACAAATACAGCTTAGATTTATGTACGTTTTTTAATGGCGTCTTTGCCGCCGTGCTGAATTGTTTGTAAAAACATAAGTTTTGACAAGAGGCCTAGATCCCGCTAATCCTTTAGTCGTGATTTGCGGTATTAATCATATTTTTTTTCTATTATCTGTTTCATTACATAAATGAATACCAGGTACTCTATCCTTCACTTTCCCTGTGAACGAAATTATTTATATAGATCTAGATCCATGTCATTTTACAATTCATGCTAGAAGTGAGTGGGTGCCGCTATACTCATGGTATGGATTGTTAGTAAGCATGAGTTTTAGCAATAACACCCCATTTCGAACATCAACATAAAGTAGAGACTTAATGCTTTCATTTCCTATAAAAAGAAATTTCCTATGACAGTCCAAGTTTGGAAACTCGGGCTTTGTGAAACTGTAATGTTCTTGATTTTTGAAGAAAATGGGCAAATTGAGCATTTTCAACTATTGATAAAAATATGAGCCCACCCTGCGATCCAATTTTTTTTCATGGATTAGAACCTTCTGAAAAAATTCTCTCATTATATAATCAAACGTTTAAGATCAGAGGATGGGGCTTATGCAAAATATTCCTAATCAGCTTAAATCTTTGGTCAGTTTTAAAGAAATTTTCAAGATTTGAGGAAAATGATGCAATTCATGACGTCATAATACACGGACAATAGAAAAAATTACGTCATTTTTATTTGATATGAAGTCACCAAGAGTCCATGTGAAATTTTTACATATTTTCAACTAAAACTAAGTAGTTCTGATTTTTCGAAACTCACAGGGCCAACAATGGTCCAAGGTGAACCTTGTTCTTTAAAGTTACTTGGAGTTGAACTAACATGTACATGTATGTATAAGAAATCGATACAAGAAAATACATCAAGTTGAAATCAAAGTATATCGGAAGTACCGGTATTTGAAAATTACATGAAAGGTGTTTCAAATACTGTAGACTTACAAATGTTTTCTATAAAATTTAAAAGCATTTTATGTGACCTTACATACAAGGATATATTGAAAATAATCAGTACCTTAGCCTTTTTGTGTTGCACAGCCATAAACATTGAAAGTTAAAAAAAAAGTGGGAATGTAATTGTTTTAAAATAACCTTTGTCTAACATCACTTCTCTTTGATTACTATGATTATTATCTTGTAAATAAACATGTTTTAAACATGCTATGTTGTACATGTATGGTGTCCTCATAAAAAAAAAATCAACAAGGTTAACAGTAAAAATGAGAAAACTCTATTGGCAAGCATTGAATGCAAAGACATGTACATTATTTTCTGAAACTAAACCAAAGGACAACAATTATCTCAACTACAAAAAACCTGTATTCAAGAATGGCACTTCATTAAGGTCTTTGACAAGGCAGTGTTTCCGGAGAAAAAAAGGTTTAATACAATGGATACTTCACTTACTGTAAATCACTTTTTAATAGCAAGAACTTTATTTTCGCGTAATTACGCGAGACAGTGTGCTCGCGAAAAATAAGTTCTCGCGTATAAAAGTATTCCTTAAGATTATATAAAGCAATAACCAAAATTCGTGAAAATTTTGTCTCGCTTATCAAGAGTCAATGCCTATTTCGCAAAATAAGGTGTCGCGAAAATTTAGTGATCTACAGTATATAAACAGTCATTGAGAGTGATCTCCCGTTTGGAAATCTCTAAGGGGTGGAAATAAATAAAACGTATGCTATAGAGGAAAACAAAAGCACACGTTTTTGAACGGATAGAATCAATTATACATTAAGAGAGAAACGCAGTGATGGCTTTGTTGTACATTGTGTAAACAGAAGTCAACAGGTCGTCATATACCATAGCTATGATGGGAAGAGCAAAACTGTGACATGCTGAAAGTGGTGAAGGGTAAGTAACCGGATGAGAACAGTTCTACAGGTCATGTGAACCGTTTAGTAACTACGAATAAAAGTAATAATAAATCCATGCAAATATATTTATGACAATTTGTTTCCAATAACGTAAATTACATAATATAAACTCTTAGAAACTCAAGATCATTGCATTAAAGTTTATACATCCCAGAGGAATTTTACTGAAGCAAATAAAATATGCCAATGGGACATGGATATAAGTTTTTTGGTAAATGCCAGGGCTATATTACAAAGTTAGTGAGCCTACTTTTTGAATTTAAAAGCATACACTGGTTATACTATATCCTTTTGAATGCAAATTTTCAACTCAATTTTAAAATTTTACATACCAGGTGTAGCATTATCCCGTACAATCTGAGTGTTTCCCAGGCGCACTTGCACTCTCCTTTCCGTATCTGCAAAAGTTTAAAGTTATGAGATTTACAACGTGCAAACTTCCTAAATAATTTATAGGTATTGTATAACGTTTTAAGACAGAAATAAACATATGTTTATAGGATTTGAAATAGAAAATATATCTTAAACAGCGTAACGTGCAAGTTAACTTTATAATTTCTTAACAGCTATCTTTAAACACAGGATGTAGTAATAATAAGATCATATTTGCAACAAGTTGCTAAATATTATCTTATTATTAGTAACTATCATCCTGTGTTGAAAAAAAGCTGTTAAGTAATTATATAAGATTCTTCGCTGTTATTTGGCTAATCGCTATACAAGGTGATGTAAAGTTTGCCTAAAACATTTTCATTGCAATTCTTAATGCCCTGGGAGGGATAAAATTTTATTTAACAGTTTTAATAGTTCATTATTATAACGGCAAACCTCTAAAGTCCACTGAGAACCTGTTATCCGTTATTTTACGCACTTAATAACTCTCCATTCCCGTATGTTACTGCAAAAATTTAATGTAATGACAATAAATGTTCAACAACAACTTGAGGATTGATCACTTTAAATAATTTAACGAAGAGGTAAATTTGATAGGTGAGTTTAAAAGATGCCACAAAATAAACATATGTTTAAGGATATTTGTTTGAAAAGAAAATATAGCCCTTAAACATGTAAACACAAGTTAACTTTATAAATTTTTAACCTTGAACTTTGACACAGGACTTTCTCAAAATCAATAGGGGTTTACTTCCATAGTTGATTCATACAAGTTGTATGTAAAATTTCAAAAGAGTTAAATTAGTAACGGTAAACAAGCTGTGAAATGAAAATAAAGCAGTTTTGTTAAAGTAATCATTATATAAGATTCTTTGCAGTTATTTGTCAGCAAATATAATTATATACAAAAGGTGATTTAAAATTTTACTCCGTTATATAAACATGAATGAGAGTGATTCTTGTTTAGTCCGATAATAGGGACGGCGGGTGTGATATGAAAATTTCATTGTCACACTAATATTAATGTTCATTATTATTGTGCAATGGAAAGAAACGTTACAGACAGACAAAAGACGGACTTTGATATTTACCTAAATAATATTTAATTTTAAAAGCTGAAGTTATGTGCATTAAAATTTCTGAAATGATAAGCTGATTTATTTTTAATTGTTGACAACAAGTAACTTCAAGATTGTGTCATATTGAAGAGGTATGAATTAGCGATTTTAAAAACAAAGAATACAAAGAAATCATAGGAAAATGATATGAAATATATGAGCTTATGACAATTTCATGCAGTCAAAATACAGTAAATTTCATATATTGACTTTTGATATAGAATTAACATATTCTAATGCCAAAAAATATATGATTTAATTGTAATTTAACAGCAAAACTGAATGATAAACGAATCACTGTTTTAACTTTTGTAAGCAATGTCGACATGAAGAATGACCTTTACTTTTATAAGGGCAGCAAATATACGGAACTTCTATTACTTTTCCGGTCAAATGCATAGGGCTATATTACAAAGATTTAGTTGCAAAACTTTTTGAAAAAAATTCATTGACTTTCTAAGCATAAACTTTTTAAACAATTTTTGAGTTAAATTTTAAATTATCATTTAACATACCTGAGTGAAATCCCGAAAACAACCCGAGTATTTTTTGTTATGTTTAAAATTTTGAATTGAAATTAGTAATCATTTTGTAAGTTCTTTGGTCGATACAATGACCTTGTCAGCAACTGTGCAAAAGTTAAAATTTATTAACGAAACGTTAACAATGACCTGTAATAAACATGGAATATTAAATTTTGCGTTATTACATAGAGTCGAAATAAACGCAGAATTTAATAACGCTGTTTTTCACACAAATTGAGGATTATTACATTTCGCGTTATTACATTTTAAACACAATATGTAATAATGAAATGACATGACGGATTTTACATTTTGCGTTGTTATTTTGCGTTTAAGCCAAGAACGCAAATAATGACACAGGAGCACACGGCGGGTGTGACCGAGAAAATAAAACAAAATGGGGAAAAAAACTCCTATATAGGCATGCAATTTCCACCTAATGAATTTCATAATATATTGATTTAATAAGCTACATGTTTTAAAATCTGCTCCTATGTATTCAAATTGTATTGTTTTTTTGGACTTTGATATTGAATACTGTTCGTTATCTCCATATCCTTCATTGTAAAAGGGGTTTAGAAGCAAATACTTTAAATATGATATATATATGAAGTTTTTTTAAATAGATATGCTGATTTATTTTTATATTAGATATTGACAGTTGTGAAGAAAAAACTTCAAGAGTACTGTGTAGCAATTTATTCAAGAAGTGGTATGAATTAGATGTTGATTCTTAAAAATTCCAAAGAACTTTTGGACAATTTGAAATCACAAGATTTTAGGAAAATCAGTAGCTGAACGAGGCCGAGTCTAATTCGAGTGCGCATGACTTTGAGCAGCGTTTTAATTTCATGCAGTCAAAAGTGTGACAGTACATCTTTCCCATATATAGTGATTTTGATATAGAATTAACATAATCTCAAAATGCCAATTTACAGGATTTTGATATGATTTTAAGACGATATAAGTAAAATTCTTTTATATTATGTGTGAATTTTGTCCGATTAACGACATACTTCTTCTTTTCCGATTTTGTAAGCAATGCACGACGCTGTGCTATGATACATGACTTGCTTATTATGCTAAAAACTTATGACAGACCATCAAAAGAACATACTAGCAATCTAAATATTGCTATCTTTTACCAAAAAAAAAAATTCTGCGCCGATCAATCATCTGCAACTGCATGCATTTATACCACAATATGGCAATTTTAGAGGTTTTGGGCAACGAAAAAAATAAACTTTGTAATTAAGACCCATTCAACTTTTTCAAAATTTCCCAATTTTGTGACTTTTTGAAATATATAACTTTCTTTTGCTTGACTGAAGAAGAAATCTCTAAGGCAGAAATACAAAAATGTTGGGGAAATGTGAAAATTTGGCGCTTTTCCAACAAATTACTATAGGGTCCAATAGTAAAATTTGACAACTTTTGAGATGCCCCCCTAAGAAATCGGGGTGGTGTTCATTCGATTTTTAAATCTTAAAACAATAAATATTACAGTAAAAATTATTTAATGAAAAATTATCAAAATCCCTAGGGTAGAAATAATTAGACTCGGCGTCGTTAAAAACTTACGACTTTTCAACTTTATACACAACCTGACCCCATGATAAATTAATGTCCAGGCTTTTTTTTTATATCATTGACAGTTTTTTTTTCAATAAAAATGCAACTCGTGGATTTACCTACCTTGTCATGTGTCATTTGCAAAATCAATTTGTGAAAGCACACTCTGATTGCTCACACAAGAACTTTGAAGTTGACATCAAAAAGATGCTTTAGTTTCTAATTGACATTATTAATGTGATTTTTGAAGATAAGGTCTTCCAACAATCTATTCGAATTTCCATGGGTACCAATTTTACTCCGTTATTATCAGACTTATTTTGTATTCATATGAAGCAGAATTTATGCAATACCGTATAGCCGGTTTTTTTGGCGGGACACAAATTTGGCGATTTTAGGTTGTTAAGATATATCATTAATTTTGGTGGATAATATTTTGGTGAATTATTACCATTAAGTCGAGGGTTAAGAATGCGCTCTTGTAACGATTGCACACGTCCTCCCAAACTTGCCAAAGTGTCGGGAAATCCTCGGAAATACGCAGATACTATCTGTTAAATCACACCCCAAATATGGAAATTCAGATGTAGCTCTTATTTGAACTGCACAAATAATGTAAAGAACATTTTTAAAGAAGTAAAATATTTGTATTAAATTGAAATCGAAAGTAGGACACGAACTTATTTTTTTCCGTAGCTAAATCCATTTATATATACATTTTGCTGACAATGCATTCCAAGCGCTGTCTGTGTTTATGTAAACAAACCATCCCAAGCGCAATTACTTTCACACATAGGTATTAATTGATACCAGTTTTTTAATTATAACAAGTACATGTAGTTTAAAACATTAATTGTTGAAAAAACTTCATTGGTCATGAGTGTGCTGTTTTAAATGACAGATGAATTGAACCCATTGTTTAGCAAGCATGACACCTTTATAACTTGAGGGTCAAATGGAGTAAAAGTTTTGGCAGTGATGAAATCCAAATTAAAAAAGATAAACTTATAGAACTAAATATTTTTGTTTAATCAAAATAATGTCAGTATGGATAATTATATCTTTAATTATAACTATTTGTTACCGGTGATTTGCCGTAACCATTCAAAAATGGGGAATTTACAAACGCAAGGTGTGTAGGCTACAAATTTAGCGGTTTTTTATTTTAATGAATTTTTATAAATCGCCAAAATAGGCCAAAATTATATCCCCGCCAAAATAACCGGCTGTACGGTATATAATGCATGAAAAGAAGAAAACACTTGCTGTGGTCTTCAACTTAACATTTAAATATATCAACGACGCATTGTCAAATAACAATGGTTATTTCCATTCCTACATATATATGATATATTCTCGTGAGCTGAGACAAAAGGTGCAACAGAGTCCGACACATCTTGTACATGTTTGGCTATTTTACTTACAAAAGACATTAATTTTAATCTAACAACCAAGCTCTGTGATAAACGTGATGACTTTAACTTTTCTATCGTCAACTTCCCTTACTTGCAGCATGCAGCAATATACGTTCATCACCTGCATATGGAGTTCATATATCTCAAATTATTCGATACGCAAGAGCATGCTTTTGCTTTATGTGAGAACAATTTCTAAAACGAGATAAACGAGAAAAAAAGTCGATGAAACAAGAGTATCAGCAGTCTCGTTTAAAATCATCATTCCGTAAGTTCTATGGTCGATACAATGACCTTCACAGCAATACAATTTACCACTGAGTGAAATGCTGACTGACGTTTTTCATACTTATTGTTACTCAATTATTTAAACACCGAATTGACGACGGATT